GGGAGCCAGGAGGGAGGGACAAAGGCGAGGAGGAGGGGAAGAGGAAGTGATGGAGGAGACGAGTGTGGAGCTGGATGGAGAGGGCGGGGCGGGCGGGAGGATGCCGCGCCAGGAGCAGGAGGGAAAGTGGGGCAGAGAGGAGAGAGGTTCGAGGGAAGTGCCAGTGGCAGAAGAGGTAAGAGGCAAATCCAGAGCCCAGAGAGTGGGGCGTGGTGGCGCTCGCCTGTGAGCCCAGCACTCGGAAGGCTGAGGCAGGAGGATCGCCTCGAGTTTGAGGCCAGCCGGGGCTACATAGTGAGTTCATAACCCTGTCTCAAAAAAAGAAAAAAAGAAAAAAAAAGAAAAAGAAAAAAAGGATACCAAGGGATAAAGGAGGTGCTTCTAGCGTAGGTCTCATCCAGAGCCCTCTGGGGTAGGATGGTAGGGAGGTGCCCTTTCCAAGTGGGAAAAGAAACACCCTCATTACACATGCAGTGTCTCTTACGCGCACATATTCTCACACACTCATCCCCCAGCTCCAACCCCCCGCCTTGGTTTCACACTCACTCAGGCAGAGCTATCCTCTCACCCAGCCCTTGAAAAGATCCAGATAAAAAGTCAGCCTCCACAGAGAAATAGGCAGGGAAATTTTCCACCCTTGCTGAACAGTACACTACCACCCACTCACACTGCCATACTTCACACACACACACACACACACCACCACCACCACCACCACACACGGGTGCAGTCACTCACTATGTCCACAAAACTCATTCCATTGCAAAGAAAAAAGGAAGACCCATATAGGGTCAAATGCAAAATGAGGGGAGGCTTTAAAAAAACAAAACAAAACCTTCTCAGGAAGAGTGATTCATCGGTCTGGAAACTGTGAGGGCCAGCTGGACAGTCCCAGGCAGCCCCAGCGATGGCAGGAGGCAGACACATGGGAGTGGGAAGCTGAGCTTTAGTATTTCAGCTCTTTATCAGTCTTTTTTTTTTTTTTTTTGTACTGGGAATTGAACTCAGGACACTGAGCTACATCCCGGACCCCTTTATCAGTCTGATTACCATATAGAGAAAGCTTGGAGGCTTCCTTCCTGATTTACAGAAGTAACTGACAACTGCTGGGGGAAGAGAGGCCCAGTGTCCTAGATCCCACAGAGAGGCATCTGGATAACCTAGAAACCATAGCTTCTCTCCTGCTCTGGCCCCACACAGACTCCACGCCACTGAGGGGCTTAGGAAGTAAAGGATACTTAAGAGGCAAGGGCTGGCAGTGCCTGGCAGAAGCAGATAGGGACTGACTGTCTAGACAGCCCAGGGCCCCGGGCTGTGTGGCTTTCTGGGTCCTCCCCTCCTCAGTCCCCTCCCCAGTCTTTCATGTGGTCTGGCCTGCGGTCCCAGGGTGGGGCAGCCTTGTTTCCTCAGTCCCATTCCCAGCCCCGCCCCTTGCTCGGAGGAGAAGAGGGCAGCACCGGCTGTGCCAAGTGCCTGGGTCCAGGGGTGGAACCAAGGTCCCCTGGCTTCCTCACTTCGTGCTCCCATGTCCGTAGCTCTAGGCTAAAAGTTGGCATCTGCTTTCTGCCAGCCTCCTCCCTCCCTCGGCCCAAGCACACTCCTGCTGGAAGAGCCTGTCACTGCCATCTCTGCTTGTCAGAACTGTGTCTGTCCAACTTGCCTATGGCTGGGCACAGTGCCCAGAATGATGCTCCGACAGCCTGACCAGCCTTGTTATTCCCGAGATATCCCTGTTTTTCAAAGAGGAGGATCTCGTCTACAAGGCTAGATGAGGGCTATAAGACAGAGAAAATAAGGGTTTTAGAAAAAAAAAAAAAAAACACTGGGGAGTGAACTCAGAACCTTTGCTCTAAATTATATCCCAGGCTCTTTTTTTTTTTTTTTTTTTTTTTTTTTTCTCCGGTACCGGGAACCGAACTCACGACCTTGCGCTTGCTAGGCAGGCGCTTTGCCACTGAACTAAATCCCCAGCCCTGAGGCTCTTTTTTTATTTTTTAATTTTGAGGCAAATTCTTGCTAAGTCACTAGGTTGCTCAAGCTTGGCTCAAACTTGGGATCCTTCTGCCTCAACCTTCAAGAGTGCTGGGATTTTAGGCATGTGCCACCATGCCCAGCTAAACGGTCCCCTTATCCCCATGCCCACAAGTAGGCACTGGGCCGGTGAATTCTTATATGCACACAGAGGTACGCACATAGACGTTTTGGCTCCCTCCGTCCCAGATTCACCCCCACCGACTACTTGAACATGCTGATCCATAAACACAAGGAAGGGCACAAACAAACACAGAGATTCTCAAACGCTGCATCCCAAACATATTTGGAGATATATAAACACACTCCAGTTATGCAGACACACAGAGATAGCAAATGCACCCCTGAGCCACCCAGTTTCCAAGGAAACGCACTCCCAAGAATGTCCGGAGTAGGGCCAGGCAGGGCTGGGCTTGGTGCCTTGCTCCAGAGATGAGACAAGGAAACCCTCAGCTCCTGGAGCCCAGGGGAGGGGGCTGGCTGGGGAGAAGAACACCCATTCCTTTGTGCCTCCGCCCACCCCTCCGTGGGCTGCCAAGCTTCTGAGACAGGCGAGCCCAGACTGGAAGGCTGAGGGTGGGGGGAGGCAAAGGGAGTTTAGGGTCAGAAGAGAGTGGGAGGGTACATACTTGGCAGGGTGGGCTTCTGGCTGGGGAAGGGGGGTCACTGGGGCCACAGGAAATGCTTAAGAATTCCTTGGTGGCCTCAGGCCCTCTTCTCTCAGAGAGCTAAGTGATGTGCTGGGAAGGACAAACAAGACAGCACCTTCATCCTGCTCACCACACACAGGGCAAGAATGCTCCTACCCATGGGAGCCACGGGGTGGGGGCTGGGGGTAAGGGTCGGGCCATCTTTGAGCTTTGCCCTGCCCCTCCTTTCTGCCCTACTGTCTCACCTGCATGCCCGCAAACCCTGGAGTGCATGCGTGCTCTCTCGGAGACCAAAAAGGAACTAGACAGCATTTTGGCCAAAGCCCCAGCTCTTGGGGGCTTCTCCTCTTATCCAGAGTCAGAGACACTGAAGCCCTGCAGAAGGCTTGCAGAGCTGCTTCCCTGAAACAGGCTGTCCTTGCGTGCTCCCGCCCCAAGGGCAGGAAGCAGGAGTGGAGTTTGGTCAGTTCTTAGGTCTGCTGTGAAGGAAATGGTATTTAAAGGTACCAAGGGATATGAAGAGAAGGCTCTTAGGACACAGTGGAGTAAGAAGGGACTTTCAGATAATGGAGTCCCCAGAAAACAATGCTCCGTCAGCCCTCCTGCTGAGAGCCAGGCTTAGCCCAGGACTTGCATCCTCATGTTCACCTCACCTCTAACCCCCAACCAAATCTGCTTTTTCTCATTCCCCTAATCAGACAATTCACTGTATAAATCAATGCCTAGAGCACTGTTTCCAAGGTGAACACACCTGGCCTGTCGAAGTGCCACCTGGCCACCCATTGCCTGCTTGGTAACCATAGTAATTAGGGGCCTTTACCCAGCAGGGCCTCCCTTGCACGACAGCATGGCCAGGTGCTTCAGAAAAAAGTGTGGTTCCAATATTCATGACCCAAAGGCCACTGTCTATGGTCTTAGCAGGCTTGTCTTCAAATTCTGCCACAGCGGGTTTTGTCCTCCTCTGCAGTTTCTCAAAACAGCTCTTTTGGCATCATGGAACAATATCTGATTCCTTCCTTTTATGTTTTTGTTTTTTTTTTTTAAGTTAGTACTGGGGATTGAATTCAGGGAGCACTGAGCTACATCCACACCCCTTTTCATTTTTTATTTGGAGACAGGGTCTCATGCAATTGCCCAGCCTGGGCTCAAACTGATGATCTGCTGCCTCAGCCTCCGAGGTGGCTGGGATTACAGGTTGTGCCACCATGTCCTACCACCGGTGTCCTCTTGCTGCTGTTCCACCTGCTCTCCCCCAACAACCGCTAACAGCCCTCTGACAACAAAAATCCAAACCTTTTCTCTCCCCATGGTGTGGGGCGGAAGGTGAGGACAACCAGAGAGGAAAGGCAGGTTGGAGACAAATCTGGATGCTGGAGGGGTTTGAGATGTTACATGGAGAGCCAACCGAGCATGGCATGGCCGTTCAGGCAGTTACCATAGCAACCACGACAGCAGGCTTCCCCTGCATCCAGCATAGACAGGCTTTGAAACAGAGGCCCCTTCCTCAGTTTGGGGCTGTCAAACCTTACCCTGAGTGAGTCGGGTTGGCTGTCGAACTGGGAGCCCATCGATAGCGCAGGCATTTCCGCAAGGGTAGAGGGTGAGGGTACCCCGCAGATTCTCGATGTAGCAGTGCTCTGGAGCCAGGCCTGGACCCTGCAGGGAGATGTCCTTGGCTGCAGAGCCAATCACTGTCCTCCCTGGAGACACGAGGCAAAGTGAGTCAGACGGGACCAGGCCGAGGAGGCAGGGACAGGGCAAAGAGGGACACAGTACAAATACATTTTCACTTGTATCTCTATTCACCACTGGGCACCCCTGTTGGGCACCCCTAAGCCCAGCAGGCCAGCAACTGATAGCTCTGCTCAAGTAGAGCAAACTGCCTCAGAATGGGACGGCTCAGAGCGCCCAGGAGCCAGACTCCCCTGAGAGAGCAGAGAAGGGGGGCTTCTTCTCTGCAGACCTCCCTCAGTCCCCTTGACTGCCCTCCCTGTGCTCCTTTTCCCTTTTCCCTTCTCGCTACTCCTCCCTCTTTTCTTCTAAATCTCCCTCCTTTCTGCCACCTGCAAACCGGCCCCTCCCTCCCTCCCTCTCCAGTGCCCGAAGCCCCTCCCTGGCAGAGCCCCTGGGACTGGTATTTGGAGAATGTGGGGAATGTAGTTATCACCCAGGCAACAGGTGCAGCCAGGAAAGGAGAAGGAGGGCAGACGCCTCGGGCCGAAGGGGACCAGGCCGGGGCTCCCCTTGGGATATGGTGCCCCTTCTCCCATCTTTCCGTTCTCCCGCAGCCCTGCCTCCCAGGCCAGGCGGCATCTTGGAATGGGGCCCCCTTTTTCCTTGGTCACACTGGGAGCGCAGAGCAGCACGCTGTCCTGTTTCTGCGGTGCTCTCTTCCTTGTTTCTAAACTGATCTGGAATCCCTGCCATGGAGCCAGATTATCTACCAAAGAAGGCAGGAAGTCCGGGGAGGCAGAAACAAGGGAAACATTGCCTGCAGATGGCGGAAGGGCCCCCAACTTAGGCAGGGGGTGGGTAGGACACCTTGTGCTGGCTTACCTTCCTCCAGCGGCAGGAGGGTAATCGCAGTGCTGAGCCGCCCGCTGCCCAGGCTCACCAGGTGGGGTTTGTCCGTTTGCACTTTCAGCCCCTTGCCTGTCTCAATCAGGTCCAAGGGTCCTTTCTGCAGGTAGCAGGGGTGGAGAATGAGCATCATTAGACTTCAGGCCAGCGCCGTCCCCCCCCTTGGTCACAGTCACATCAGCACTCTCTCCAGTCTTTGTCCCTCTCCAAAGGGCTCTGAGGTGCTGAAGGGTTTCGCACAAAATCTCAGCCAGAGCATTATCTCACAAAATTGTAATTAGATCTGAATCTAGGCCACTAACTCGTCCCACTGGATTTATCTCAAGTCTTGGCTCAACTGCCCCTTTTTGTCTAAAACAGAAACAAGGCGAGCAGGTTGGGGGAGGCAGGGGCACTGGGGAGGAGGGGGCACTGTAGGAGGTGCAGGTCAGCTCTGGCAGCTTTGGTTGGGGCTGTCTGCAGGGCGGCTGCTTGCCCCTGCTACACAAGCTACAAGGGAGGGTGGAGACCCAGACCAAGGTGAAGCAGCCCCAGAGACTATCTGTAAATGGCCTTCTGACTTTCAAAGGGGACTTTGGAGGGGGGGGCAATTAACCTGATTCAGATAAACACTGAGCTGTTCATCGGCTTAGAACCTAGGGAAGGGCCAGAGAAGCAGAACTGCTGCTCCCCCGCTTGCCCGGGACCTGAGGTGTGTAGAAACCCTGAACCCACCCTTATAACTGCTCTCCTGCCCCACGGCCCTGGCCCCACTCACCTGCACCACGGCCTGGGTCTTGCATCCAGGGCCGACCAGGGTCCTATTGCGAGCATCCATGGTCCTGGGGCTCCAGAGCTCCTGGGGACACAGCATGACACAGGTGATGGGGGAGGCCAGGGAAGACGAAGGAACCCTGTGGCAGGGTTCTCAGGGCAGGCACACGCAGCACCAGCCAGCGTCATTCCCAGAACTCTTACACCAAAGGAAAGGTGGAGGCAGCTAAAGAGATGGGGGAGAGGTGATGCCTGGTCTCCAGCCTCTGGCCTCAACAGGCACCACAGCAACCAGTCCTGGCCCTGGCCATCGCAAGCACAAAGGCTGGCCTGTGCTCCTGGGCTTTCTTGCTCTGTGCTACTTAGAACCCAGTCTTTTTTCTTTTTTTTCCTGGTACCAGGAATCGAACTCACCACCTCGCACTTGCCAGGGAGGCGCTGTGCCACTGAACTAAATTCCCAGCCCCTCAGAACTCAGTCTTTTGTTTGTTTGTTTGTTTGTTTTTGTTTTTCTTCTGGTACCAGGAATCGAACTCACCACCTCGCACTTGCCAGGGAGGCGCTGTGCCACTGAACTAAATTCCCAGCCCCTCAGAACTCAGTCTTTTGTTTGTTTGTTTGTTTGTTTTTGTTTTTCTTCTGGTACCAGGAATCGAACTCACAACCTTGTGCTTGCCAGGCAAGCGCTTTGCTGCTGAGCTAAATCCCCAGCTCCCAGAACCCAGTATTAACAGCTGAAAATTCCCAGCTATCTGGAGCCTTAAGCACGGTGAGGAAAATCTACCATAGTAGGAGGAATAAAATCCTGTGTAAAACCCAAAGACACTGCAAGTCAGAGGGCTGCCCCCAGGGGGGTGGCAGAGCTGAAGCAAGCACTCCCTCCCTCAACCTTTCCTTCTCTTCTCTCTGTTTCTTTTCCCAGGTAGAGTGTTTTCTTAAAGGAGATACAGGAAAAACTCGACCATTCCTGCCATCTCTGTGTATCTCAACTGTACCTTTTCTTCCTCAGAAATCAACCTCATCCAACACAGTCAGCTCAGAATCTCACTGGTGACTATTGGGAGTGCAGGACTCTTGGGTTCTCACCTGGCTTGGTGCTATTTAGGAAGGTAAGGCCCTTAAAACAAGGAATAAGATTACAAAGCCAGAACCTGAACCTCTCAGTGGCCTACCTTGCCCCTCTTTCCCTGGCTCATGCTTTTGGTACCCACGACTGTAAAGAGGACCCTACATGGACTAATGTGCTATCAGGCATGGTGGCGCACACCTGTAATCCCAGCACTAGGAAGGCTGAGGCAGGAGGATCGTTTTGAGTTCGAGACCAGCCTGGGCTGCAAAGTGAGCTCAAGGCCAGCCTGACCTGCATAGCGAGACCCTGTCTCAAAATAATAATAATCGTAACTAGGACTAATGTGTCTCCATATGCCCAACCCTTGGGCACCTTCAAAGGTGAGACACTTCCCATTGGCTACTGAAATGTTACTGGGGAAAGCTGAGGCCTAGAGAGCTTCCTTCTGCTTTCACTGTTTCAGCCGTCTCCCAGATGACTTACAGAGGAAGCAGGGCAAAAGCCAGCATTCCAAAGAGTGCCTGACCCTGGCAGTGGGTCCCAAGGGCCCTCAGCCATAGTTACTAAATTTACTCTCCCAGCTTCCACCCTTCCGGGCCTGGACCACATAATCTCCGTCACCATTTCCACCCAAGCTGGCGGAAGAGAGGCTGGAACAGTGCCTGGGGCCCACCTCAAGACTGTTTGGGAGGCGGGAAAGCACAGGCCATTAACTCCCACCATGCCCTAAGCTGGCCTGGGGTCTTCCCTGGCCACAGGAAAGAGTTTCCAGAGACAGAATGCTGTACTGCTTTCTTAGACTCAGGGAAATCCCTCTACATTTCCTGAGGGAAGAGTGGGTTAGGAATAGGAAGTTCATGTAAAAAAGTGGAGAAGAAAAACAAAATAATAAACAATGGTAGAAGGAAGGTATTGTCCTTCAGTGGGAAAAATTTTAGACTTTTTTTTTTTGATACTGGGAATCGAACTCACGACCTTGTGCTTGCCAGGCAGGCGCTGTGCTGCTGAGCTATATCCCTGGCCAAGAAAAGGTTCTAGAGTGGGATGAAAAATCTTAAATTCTACCCCAAAGCCCAGAGTGGTGACACACCCGTGTAATCACAGCACTCTGGAAGCTGAGGCAGAAGGATCACTGGGAGTTCAAAGCCAGCCTGGGCTACAAAGGGACTTTATTTATTTATTTTTTGTCTTTCTGAGACAGGGTCTCGCTATGCAGTTCAGGCTGGTCTTGAGCTCACTTTGTAGTCCAGGCTGGTCTCGAACTGGCAACAATCCTCCTGACTCAGCCTCCCGAGTGTTTGGATTACAGGTGTGCGCCACCATGCCCGGCTCTACAAAGGAACTTTAGACAGCCTGAACTACATAGTGAAATACCGTCTCAAAAAACCAAAATAAATAAATAAATTCTACCCTGCATGTATGATTCATTAGCTGTAAGATCTTGGACAAGTTCAGTTCAGTTGCTTCAGTTCTCATTGTCAACTCCATCTTCTATAAAACTAGAATAATAATTTTTAAGAGATTGTCTTAAAAAAAAAAAAAAGAGAGAGATTGTCTAGATCAGTGTGTGCCTGAGCCGGGGTGGAGTTCAAAGAGGCTGTAAATGGGCAGAATATTTTTTTGGAGGGATGTGTTAAGAAATATTCTAAAATTAAATTGTGATGATGGTGGTTCAGCTCTAAACATACTAAAGTCATTGCACACTTAGCATTGGGTGGATTTTAAAGTATATAAATTAAATCTCAATAAAGTTGTTAGCCAGGAGTGGTGGCGCATATCCGTAATCCCAGCACCTGGGAGGCTGAGCTAGGAGGATCACTGAGCGTTTCAGGCAGACACAAAAATAAAAACAAAAACAAAAAACAGAACAAAAAAAAAATCAATGAAGTTGTTAGTTTTTTTAAAAGCACTGTCTGAAGATTGAGGTAGTATACTAAATGACACTCCATGAAACGCAAACCACTATCTAAATGCCAGTTATTATGAGCTGTATAACCTGGAGTAAGGCACTGCACCTGTCTGGGCCTCAGTATCTCTATGTGTCACCCTGGAGTGTTTGTCACCGGCACTCTTTGAGGTATTTGGGTGTGTTCATTTACTTACACCAAAGAACTTTAAGTGGGGATGAAGACCGTAAAGAAATAACGTTGATGGCGGAATGAGTGATTACCAGAGAAAAGAGAAGGCAATAAGGAAGTGAAAGGAGAGGGAGAGATAAGGAGAGAGTTGTAGGGCGAAGATAAGAAAAGATGTAGAGGTTGGGAGGTGCGAGGCGGTGGCCTCAGCTCAGAAACTTAATCCAGGTGAAGTGGAAAAAGACACCAGACCAACCTGCCAGGCGCTCAGGTCGTGCTGTGACAGTGGGGTCTCGTTGCGGCCCAGGGAGCCGCCACCTGGGGGCGCCCTCGCCTCGGACCCTCAACCCTGGCCCGCGAGGCGCCCCCGCCAGCTCTCCCGCCTCCATCCCACCCAGCCGCTGCCCCCTAACCCGGGCTGTAATTACTGCCTCGCCCGGCCGGCCTCCGAGGCCCTTCTGGGAAATCCTGCCCGCCGCCAAAAAAAGGTCCCTGCGGGGCAAGTCCGGCTCCCGCCAGCCCTCCCGGACTCGGGTACACGGGAGCAAGGCGGCAGTGGTCTCGGTGTCCGGTCCGGCGAGCTGCTGCGGGGGTCCCCGCGTGCCCCGAGGCTGGGGGTCCCGCAGGTGGCCCCGCCGGCCCCGCCGGCCTCCTTGCCCACCGGGAACGCGCAGGCAGCCGCCCTCTCCGCCGAGCGGGGCGCCAGGGTCTCCCCCTGGGGTCTGGGCACCCGAATGAGGGTGAAGGGAGGTCCCGGCGGAGGGCACCAGCTCTGGCGCCAGCGGTCCCTAGAGGAGGTCCCAGCTTCCCAAGGGGCCCCAAGTTGAAAGGTCCAAAGCGGACCCCGCAGCGCAAGGCCTGGACCCGCGGCGCCGCTCGCGGACCTCCCCAAGCCCCTTTGGGTCGCTGCAGCCCTCACCTGGGTCGTGGGGGCCCAGCCGAGGCCTCGCCCCGGGCGTCGCATGGTTGGACCTGCGGGGCTGAGCCGGGATCCTCCGGGCCAGCAGCGGCCTCGCCTTCCCGGCGCACATCCGCCCTCGGGGAAGGGCCAGCAGAGGAAGGAGTCGGACGGGAAGGAAACTGAGGCTGGAAGCCCGGCGGGCAGGATGCCCAGGCGGAGCCGGGCGGGGCGAAGGTGACCGAGGGCCAGGGGCGGAGAGAACTTCAGAATGCGAAAAGTGAGGCAGAAAAGAGGGTCTGCGGGGGGACGAGGAGGGGGCGCGCAGTGATCTGGGGGGCGGGGGCGGCAGGGGGGTCGAGGACAAGTAAGAACTGGAGAGGAAGCGACCAAAGACCCCTGTCTGGGGAGAGGGGCAAAGGCCTCAAGTGGAAGGGGTGGCGGGCGGGCAAGACCGGAAGCACCAGGAGGTCCTGAGGGGCGGTGGGCGAGGAGCTGGAGATCGGGGACACCCGCGCCCAGAAGCGTGGGAGAAGAGCCGGGCAGCCAGGGGACAGAGGCGACCGAGCCGGGAGAGACGTGCGTGGCGTCTGTGGGTGTCTCTCATGGTGGCGCCGGAAAAGTGCACCTCTTGGATTTCCGCGCCGGAGAGGCCCCGGCTGCCCCTCGGCCCGCCCCGGGCCACCGCGGGGGACAAGGCCGCAGTGTTGGGCCGCCCCGCCCGCCCGCCCGCGCCCGGGACAAGCGGCCTTTCTTCGGCCCGGCTGGGAGAAGGGGACCCTTGTTTGCGCAGCGGGGAAAGGGGTGGCCGCCCACAAGGCGCCGCTGCAGCGGGGCGGCTGCGGGAAGGGACGGGCTCGCGGGGTGGAGTGTGGAGCGGCCTGGCGTGGGTGAGGGTTCTGCGCGTGTGACGCAGCGGACCCGAGTGTGTGCAAGACGCGTGGGAGTGGAGCGTGGGGTGCCGCGTGGATGCCCGCCGCGGGGGAGCCTGTGCTTGCGTGACGGCGGCTGCGAGGTGAGCCCGCCGTCGGATGAGTCAGCCCCCGGGAGCCTCGGGGACCGCTGAGCTAACGGGCCCAGAATGCAGCCCCGCCCCGGCGCCCCGGTCCCCTGCCGGGCCGTGCGGTCACGGTCCAAGTCCCCGCTGCGCCGCCTCGGCGGAAGCGTCCGCCGCTCCGGGGCAACCCTGAGCCGGCCGGCCCCACCCAGCCTCCCGCGGCACTTCCCCATCCCGGGGGAGTCCGATGACTTGGCGCAGCCTCGTCGCGGGGATCTCCGCTAGGCACTCGGGTCCAGACCGCGAAGGCGCGGCAGAGGCTGGGAGTCTCTTCCAAAGTGCCCCATGGGGCCCCGAGCCCTAAAAGGCGTGCAGCCTTGGAGGAGCGTCTGGGAGGCCTCGATGAGCTTCCCACGTCCTGGGCACCGCCAAGAACCTCTCCGCCACTCCTATCCCACCACGCAGGACTCTGCATCAAGGCTGTCCATCAAGGCTGTCCATCAAGGCTGCTGGCACGGGGGCAAGTGTTAAGACACCCCAAGGCACCCCCTCCCCGTGGTCCTGCTGTGGGCTGAAAGGGGGTAGTGGGAGATGTTAGAGGTGCACACACTTGCCGCCCAAGATCCAGAGGGTGCAACCTGGCCCTGGGGTGCCAGCGGGGATCCCAAAAGGCTGGGCTTCCCTTCGGGGGAGAGCACGGGGTCCCCTCTGGCAGTGACGCTTGCAGCAGCTCAGCTCGGAAGGGCAAAAGCAAGCAACTCTTGGGAAAGAGGCGGTGCTGACTCCCACAAAATCCCCTTTGGTCTGTAGGCACTCACCTGGGGTGTCCCCTCTTCCCCCACGGGCTTCTTCAGAGCCCTGGAGCCCAGAGCTGACCTCGCCAGGCCCCACGGACTTCCCCCTGTGCAGCGCCAGCCGCGCAGAGAATGGCACCTTCAGGCGCAGTGAGAGCGGCGCGTTTACCTTTCGGGGCGACGGGGACACGGTCCCTGCGCCCGGCTCGGCCGCGGCGGCCTCAGGCTCCGAGGGACCCTGCTGCTTTTTCCCCGGGAGCCTGCTGAGTAGGAGGAGAGCGAACCGTCCCGCCTCCCTCCCGCTAGTCCCCGCCCCTACCCCATCCCGTTCCGTCCGCCTGGCCAGCCAGAGAAGACGCCCTTGTGGAGCTGGAGCCCAAGGTCCCCCACCCACCCTTTCCCACAGCAGCACCTCCCCACCCCCTCGCCTGCACAGCACCCGCTTTGTTCATCTGTACAGCTGGGCTGTCCACCACACACCCTCTCCTCCCGCCCTCCCCTTCGGACTCTCCTAGACCACCCTTCACCCCTAGGCTTTGATGTATTCCCACTCATTCTGTGTCTCTGTCTCTCTCCGGCGCTCTCTCTCCTCCCACCTACCTCCCTCTGCCCCCCTTGGGTACTGAAACTTCCACAAGTCGCCCGTGAGGCTCCTCATTGCTGCCCCTACAACATGCTCTCAACCTTTCCTCAGATCCTCTCCTGAGGTCGTCCCTGTCACCCTTCTCCCAACACCTCAGTGAAGAGCTGCAGATGGGGCTGATAGCCCCACATCAGGCTCCGGACTTTCCTCCTAAGGACAGTATAAGACGAAGACATGTTGAAGTGCTGTGCAAACTAAGCACAGGAGCGAGTGGAGTTTATTTTGCCTCCTTTAGCTCAATCCCAGTCGCTCCGCTAGGTTAGATTGGGAGTGGAAAGGCAGGCTAGAGACACACTAGCCGAGAGCATGTTAATAAGGAAGAGGGGCACTGAACACCTAAGAGCAGCGCAGAAGCCTGGACTGGTTGAAGTCATTCTCTACCTCAGCCCCCACCCGGAAATCCAACACTGACAGTGGATCCTTACCTTGCAAAGCCAGCTCTTGCCCCAGGAGACTGGCGGGGAGGCCCCAGGGAGCTGAACTCAGCTGGGTTGGACCTCCTCGCCTACATGGCAGGGACCCCAGACACTCCTCCTCGCTGAAGGAAGGAGCAGAAAAACTTCGTCTGGCCTAAATTCCAGCTGGGGTGAACAGCAAAAGGTAATTTGTCCTCTCTGGGATGGGCAAGTCCTGTTCTGATTCAGTGGCTTCAGTTTGTGTCCTTTCTTCTAACCCAGGAGGCTGACCTCCAGGAATCTCTAGTCACTCATTGACAGGGCTAGCATTCCTCCCTGGAGGTGGGGAGCATGGCCTGAAGCTTGAGCTGACCACAGCCCGGCAGTGGACAAGATGGGAAGGTGGGGGCTGGGGTGTAGCTCAGTAGTAGAGTGTTTGCTTAGCAAGCATGTGGCCCTGGGTTCAATCTCCAGCACAGAAAGGGGAGGGAGAGGTGTTGCTACCTGGCCTAGCTGAGGCAGACAATCAAGCTCCAGCATACACTGTGGGTACCAGAAAACTCTAGGACTCTGTGCGCGTGTGCGTGTGCGTGTGCATGTGTGCATGTGCGTGTCTGGGGCAAGCCTCTTAATCTTCCTGTCTGCATACTGTTCGAAGCTCACGCGAGTATTTTAACTCAGGCCGGTCTTCATGAGGCAGATCACAACAGTAATTTTCAGTCTATCTTAGTGTGTAAAAAAAAGAAAGAGCCAAAACTGTTGCATCCTATATGCCAAAACTTAGCATTTGAGGAGAGGCTCAGATTGGGATTCCTCAGAGAATTTCCACTATACTCGAGAACCCCCAGCTCCTCTTTACCCACTTGGTCAGGAGGAATTTCGAAAAACAATCAAGGGGGCTACAGAGGCAGCTGAGGTTGAAGCAGGGGTGGAAATAGTACCTAACCACTGTCACCATCTCCCCACCAGGGACCAGCTGACCCCAGGATGAAGGTTCTATGCAATGTGTCCTCTCTCCTACTGTGTCAGGTCTCTGTGTTCCCACAGTTAGAGCACTCAGGGGACTAAAGACCTACCACCCCCACCCCTCCACCCTCATCCCACTGCACATCTGGAGCCCATCAAAAAACTCAGTGCTCTCTCACAGTTACGCAAGAGGTCGAGCAGCTGGGAGCTCAGGAAGGGGGGAGGAGGAGAGAAGAAAGCAGAAAACAGCTTTCCAGGCATGCTTCAGACTTTCCGAAATGAAAGCAGGGGGAGAGGGCAAAAGGCTGGGTGTGGAAGGAAGGGTGGATTTTTTCAAGGCCCTCGGCACTTGGCTATGAATGTCAGGAGTGGATTTCCACACTCCTCCTGTCTTTGACTTGGCACATTTCCCACTCTCCTCCTCTAACTGTACTTACTCCCTTTAGACCCAGAAAGAGATGGCTATTGCTCACACTGCCAGCAGCCCCTGCAGGTAACCCCTCCCAGAAAGTTAGCCCTTTCTGACCTCTTTGCATCCTGAACTCAGGCATCATTAATGTAGGTGTGGTGGCAGCAACGATGCCAAGCAACTTCTCGGTGCATCCTACTTGGGAAAAAGTTCAAACTTTGCCTCAGCAGCTGCAAAGCTGCAGCAGCTCTTTTCTCAGCCTATCTTAGAAAAACTGCACAACCCACACTTCCACCAAATCTAACACATTCGAGTGGGAAATCTAGGTAAGGAAAACTGGCTATCTACCTCGCTGTGGCTCACGACCTTCTTACAAGCTGAAGAGAACAAGCATCGAGGGCCAGGGGTATATAGTTCAGTGGTAGTGTGTGCCGTTTAGCATGTGCGTCCACCACTCACCATGCTACTTGGCCCCTATCTTACACGGTAAGAAATTTCGCTTTTGGTAGATGGGAGGGGTGGCTTAAGCTTCCAAAATCTGCCTAGCAACTTGACTTCTTGTGAAAGAGGGAAAACAGCCTGCTAGGAAAGGTAGCCTAATTTTAGAAAAGGCATCCCTCCTATCAATTCACTACCTCTCCAGGGTAAGGTACGAGACACACTGGTAGAGACGCTTCGGCTCTTGGGTAACAGAAATGCACAGCAAGCAACCTACTTGTAAATCTCTAATAGGAGTTCCAAGCTCTAGAGAGCTGCACATGTATTTACCAAAGAGCGCAAAAAGAGGGCCTGGAAAGTTGTGTTTAGAAGTGCACTATAAAGGGAATTAATTCTGAGTTTCTGCTGCAAAATTCCTCAAGCCCATTTTCTATTCCACTCTCCAGACTCATGTTATTAGTTGTAGTTACCATTTGCCTAGCTTAGAAAAAAACTTCATAAACAAGCAGATGTTCCTTCTAGTTACACTTAGTATTTTTGGTGAAAACCCCCATCACCTTAAAAATAACCCCGGCTAGGTGTGAACCTTAGACTATTCCGGGATGTGAGGGCGACTGGGCTGCAACATGTGACCCCACCGATCCCCAGGGCGGATTCAGCTGGTCTGGCTGCCTAGGCGGGTGGTCCCTTCCTCCCTCAATGCTCCACGTGCGTCCCTCCTGATGCTGCGTGCTGTCAGAGGACCACTCAACAGAGGACGGTTCCTCCGTCAAGGGCATACTAGTAGCTGCGCTCCCTGGCCACAACCTGCCAACAAGCTCTCAAGACTATTCTGCATCAACCCTGGAAATCACTCAGACCCTAACTTAAAATTTAAAATTCACAGGCTGACTTGGAATAAACAACTGATCTTTTTTAAAAAGGAACTCCTATCCAGAGGTCGCTACTCTCACTACCTCCTGTGTGGGATTCATCCACTCAGACCAGGAACCACAGCCTCCTACTTTAAAAAGAATGCTTGGTCAGATGTAATTATTCTGCTAACTCCCTCACAAGAGACAAAAAGTCCATTTAATGCCAGAGAGGGATTACCAGCTACTCAAGGGGTGTGGCATGACTTTGGTGCTCTTCTTTAGATTAAGGTTACAGCTTCTACGAGGCAAACCATACTTAGCATCATTAGATCACATACTACTTAAGAAAAAAAATCAAAACCCTGGCCTCTGCTACTGCCTTTTCACTTGACATTTATTTAACAGGGAGAATAATCTACCTTCCAAACAACTTGATGTTTAATAGTTTTTGCAAAATAAAAAGTGTACGAAGTCTTTTCCCTGAGGCATAGTGGCACACACATGTAATCCCAGCCCTCTGGAGGCTGAGGCAGGACAATCACCCCAAGTTTGAGGCCAGCCTGAGCTAGTGATTTCAGGTCCAGCCTGAACTACATGGCAAGACCCTGTCTCAAAAAAAAAGGTCATCTTTTCTGAGCATTCCTAACAATTCTGAAGGCACTCGTCATGCCTCCCTGGCTTACTTCTAGCACTATCTGTCAAATAGGAAGGCCCCAAGACATTGCATGCTTTTTTTTCTTTTTGGTACCAGGAATCAAACTCATAACCTTGCACTTGTCAGGCAGGTGTTGTGCTGCTAAGCTATATCCCCAGTTTGCAACTAGTTACTTTTAAAGATGACACTTCATTTTTTTTTTTTTTTTTTGGTTTTTTTCCAGTACCAGGAATCAAACTCATGACCTTGCGCCTGCCAGGCAGGCGCTGTGCTGCTGAGCTAAATCCCCAGCCCCTGACACTTCATTTTTGACTCTATAACTGCCCCTTACGAAATTAAGACTCCAATATCTCCGAAATCTGTGACACTAAATTCAAAAGCCATGCTGTCAAAAGTGTGTGTATATTCAAATGTAGAAAACACACAAAGAAGCACACTACCTATAATGGAGGAAAGGCAATGAATACTCTTGGACAGATTATTTTCTCTTAAAAAAAAATCCATCTTAGATCCTATTACAGCATCCCAAAGCTGAGCGGACATCAAAGTGTGAGTCAAGAATTCAGTGAACATTTCATTTTATAATACTCTTTATTTGATTAAAGAATCTGCCTTCTTTGTGTACAATGGAATGTTATATTCCCTACATATTTTACAGGGTTACAAAATGTCTCTTGTTTTAAATATTACCCCAAAAGTAATTTCAGGAAAAAAAAGGTTTTGTGAAATTAAACTTGACTTTTAAAAAATCATATGAACAAGCAACTCTCAAACAAAACTGGATTAATAAGATTTGTCTACTTAACTACATGACAGACTCCTTGTCCTAGCCCCCTTCCTCAGAAAAATTTCATGTGGAAACCAAGCTAGAGATAAGTATTCTTCCCTGATACAAGGGTTAGGGAAAGGGAAAGGCCAGAAGTTTCTTTGGCAAGCAACTCCAGCTATGGCCATTTGAGGCTGCTCTGCATCAGTACAGTCCACTCTGAGGCAGGGCCAGGTGTTCAGAATGGAAGTGCTGCCCTCCAGCCAGCTGTAAGCGCAGGAGGCCATCCACAGTCGTTTGTCTCTTCCCACAGCCAGGGCCTCTCAGCAAACGTCACACACCCTAAGTGCAATACTGGATTAAAAGCAAAGGCTGGGTTGGCAATGTTGTTCTCCAACAAAAAAAGTGACAGATGAAATGGAGCTGAGAAACAATCCCATCATAATGACACTCAAAAGGCTCAGGGGTTAGAAAAGGAAGGGTCTCAGAGACAGAGACAGGAGGAAAATGCTGAGTTGGCTCTAAGGAAACGGGGTACATAAGAGTCCTTCCTACATAACCAATATAACAAGGGCCTATCGAAATGCTAAAACTCTAGCAGTGGAAATGGATTTTCCTTGATAATTCAGGGGGGACTTGATAGGAAGGTGATGGACAGGACTGGCACAAATACTCACTGAACCAGTGGCCTCCAAAATCATAACTGTGTTTCTGCTAGAAAGGAAGGACTGAGGAGAGTGTGACCAGGAAGAGGGAGACGGAGAATCTAAGGAATGCACAGATACAAAATTGTGGGCTATTACGTTTTGGTTCAAGTACCCAAAATGGGGAGAACTGGAAGTACGGACAACACTATCAACAGACGTGATATTCCATGGGGCAATAACCATTCTTCTCCCAGACACCCTGAAGAGGGGCCATCTCATCTGAAAGCTGTTTCTCATTAATATTGACACCAGCAGGACTCACAGTACTACTTTAAACAGGAAGGCCAGGCCTTGAAAGGAAAACAGCTTGGCAAAATAATGGAGGGATAAACAGACATGGGAAAACAGAGTCCATTTTACCTTTTAACCTCTATATTCCATATCCCTTAAAGAGTTCACCTGTATTGTCCAAAATTCGAGAACAGTTTAGATAATTCTGTTCCAGGTCAAACACAATGCCTATAGATGATCCCAGTGCCTGATTCAATGTACAGAAAGGAAAGAAGTATGAAAGAGCAAAATCTACAGAGAAAACCTTAAAAACAAAGTGTGAAATGTAACTGTATTTGGGGATTAAAACAAAGGAGCAACTTAGGTGAAGACAGAGGAGGCGCTTGCTGGGGGCATTCTCTGGAGAGCTTGCTTTCCTGCTGGCCAGTAAAATCTGCCAAAGAAATGAGCAGCCTTTCCCTTTATGTTTGTGTCATTTCTCTGTCAAAGAGCGTCTCCGTGATACTCAAACACTGGGGATGAGCTGAGGGTCCTTCCACAGGAGACGAGCATTACATCAGAAAAAAACGGTCTCCAATGGCTTGTAAATTTGGAAAAACTCTTCAGCCATTTTCTGGCTCTTCTATTAATTTGAAATTTTTCCTTTTCGGTTGTCTCTTCTTGGTATTACAGGATTTCATACTTATCCACTAGGAAAGTGGTCTCTGTGGAAAACCTGACCGGACTGTTTCCATCTACCTGGGTCACTTTGGTAACCTGGAAAATAAACAAAAAAATAGTAAAGCAAAAAGAAGTTGAGTCTACACAGTGCTGATTAAATTCTCATTACAGAATAAATTAAATTCCCTGAAAACAGTATTAAACGTACTTTATAAATGACAAATAGTAAGTGTTCAATGCGCAACTGTAGCTCACAGCCAATCAGTCCCATCAACAAGATTAATCTGATTTCTCCATAAAGAAAAGACAACTGTTGCAAAGACATGTAGAGCAGTATTAACAGCAAATAACAGCTCCAGAGTGAGAGGCCACAGCTCAACCCTGCCTTATAAAACCTATGAAAATCATAGAGATTCTATCAGAATCATCAGTCCTAACTCTCAAAATTATTCACTGGATCTGCTTTCAAAATTCCCCCTGTAGAACAGCCCACTAAGCTACTCCACCATACTGATTTTCTGGGCATGGCAAGGTCCTTTTAATGAGATTTTCTTTTTCTAATAATAAATTTCTTTCTTCCTTTTTGTTCTTTGTCTTTTTTTGAGATAGGGTTTCACTATGCAGTTCAGGCTGGCCTTGAACTCACTTTTAGCCCAGGCTGACCTCAAAATCCAGAGTGCTTGGTATTACAGGCATGCGCCACCACACCCAGCCTTCCGAGTATAATTACCTACAATAATAGTACCTATATTGGCACCAACACATGAACCACTGGCTAATATTCTCTAATGAAATTTTCGGCCAGGGATATAGCTCAGCAGCAAAAGCACTTGCCTAGCAAGCACAAGACCCTGAGTTCGATTCCTGGAAAACACACACACACATTTTTTTTTTTTTTTTTGGTACTGGGAATCGAACTCAGGACCTTGCACTTGCTAGGCAGGTGCTTGTACCACTGAGCTATATCCCCAGCAGAAAAAAAAATTTTGAGAGAATAATTATTGTCCTAACTGCTGAAAGGTCCCGAACAGGCAAATGCACCCATTTCTATATAACGTCTTAGGTGTAACAGTCTCTCAGTACTGATGGGATTATGCCACTGAGGGAGAAGAAAACTGCTTTGGAATCAACCAACTACCAGGGTGATAGAGATATCTGGGAGGATAAGAGTGCCAAGTAACAAGCAAGTCAAAGAGGAAACAGTAATATAAACTAAAGCTGAGGGAGGTGATGCATGCCTGTAATCCCACCATTTGGGAGGCTGAGGCAGGAAGATCCCCCTGAGTTTGAGGCCAGCCCGGGTTACAAAGTGAGTTCAAGGCCAGCCTGAATTCCACAGTGAGACCCTGTCTCAAAAAAGATGAGGGGCTGAGGATATAGCTCAGTGGCATAGTGCCTGTCTGGCAAGCACAAGGTCCAAGTTTGATTCTTGGTACCAAAAAAAAAAAAAGTGTACTACATGTAGGGTAAATATCAAGGAATGGCTGGACTGTAGATGCATATTTAACCTTTTAGCTGGGTGTGATGGCACACGCCTGCAATCCAAGCACTTGGGAGACTGAGGCAGGAGGATCACTGTGAGTTTAAGGCCGGCCTGGGCTACAAAGTGAGTTGAAGACCAGCCCGAACTGCATAGTGAAACCCTGTCTTTATTAAGAAGATCCCTCCCCCAAAAAAGATGAAAAAATAAGTAACACAAACTAGGTCCCAGTAATGCAATTTGTTTTGTTTCACCTACTTCACTAAAGGACAAAGTTTGCAGTGGAAATGGCTCATTATTACTTGTACTAATACAGGCAATTGTGCCATAATTCAAAAATTATTTCCATTACTTTAGATTCCCCCCTCTAACCTCATCTTCCTCCCGCCTTCCTTCCTTTGGACTGAATGCAAAGCATCATTTACCTTACACAAGCTAAGTAAGTACTCTATCAATGAGTTACATCCCATTCCTTTTTTATTTTTATTTATTTATTTATTTATTTTTTTGATACAGGGTCCCGTTATGTAGTTCAGTCCATACTTGAACTCACTATGTAGCCCAAGCTGGCCTCAAACTGGAGGGGATCCTCTTGCCTCAGCCTCCCAACTGCTGGGATTACAGGTGTGTGCCACCACACCCAGTTTTTGGTTTTTTTTTTTTTTGCTTTCAGATAAGGTCTTGCTACGTTGCCCAGACTAGCTTTAAACTTGCAGTCCTTCTGCCTCAGCGCCTCTGAGTAACATGGATTACAAATATGTCCCACTGAACCCAGCAGTAATTTAGCCTTCTAAATTAAAAAGAAATTCTTTCATTCCTTGAGTATAAATTAAGTGACAAGATATTCATTACAAAACTATGTTGTTGGACAGATACAAAATTGGGGTGGGGGAGGATAAAAATGATCAAAATGCAGTATGTATATGTACCCATTCATCAAGATGAATATAGCAGGACTGGGGATACAGCTCAGCGGCACAAGCACCTGCCTGGCAAGCGCAAGGTCCTGAGTTTGATTCCCAGTAAAAAAAAAAAAAAAAGATGAATACAGTTATTGTATATCTCACACATATACTGATGAACCAGGCATACTAGTACACGCATGTAATCCCACCACATGGGAGGCCGAGGCAGGAGATCACCATGAATTTGAGACTAGCCTGGGCTACATAATGTGTTCTAAGGCCAAAATGAACTACACAGCGAGACCCTGTCCCAAAAAAAACACACAAAACCCCAAAACACTTGCTGATAAAGAAATCATAGTGAGGAAATTAAGAGAGAACCCCCCACATACTAAAATAATGTTTTAGGTGTTTTGGCAAATGAATTTTAAAAATATATGGGTTAAAAAAATAGACAACTTAAAAAAGAGAGAGACAATGAGCCAGGCACGGTGACAAACACAGGTAACTCTAGCTACTCAGGCTGAAGGAAGACTGTCAGTTCAAGGCCAGCCTGGGCAGTTTAGTCAGAACCTACCTCAAAAATAAAAAGGGCTTGAGATACAGATCAGTGATACAGTTACTTGCCTACCATGCACAAGACCCTGGTTTAACCCTCAGTACCCCCAAAAAAGAAAATAAAGTAACTAATCAAAGACAGTATATTTGAGCCCATAAATACCTTGATATGCATTCATGTTCAATTTTTGTTTGCTTGAGACACAGTATTGCTGTGTAGTTCAGGCTGTCCTTGAACTCACTACAGTAGCCCGTAGGACAGCCTTTAACAGGTGGTGATCCTCCTGCCTCAGCCTCCCAAGTCCTTAGATTACAGGTATGCATCATTACACCCAGGTTAATTTTTCTTTTTTTGAACTCTGTCTGATCTAAGGAGGAAATCTGAGGTGCAACAGGTGAGGAATTTGACCAAAATCACACAAGTCAGATATGGTATCTGCAAAGGATATACATTTTTCTAATTTTTACTCTGACAAACTATGCTCCTTATCAGGCTCTGCTCCTTTGCTTTCCTCACATACACACTCTATATGAACAGAGTACCTGTATGTTACAGTAATTCTTTTTGGAGATGAAGGAAACTTGAACAGGGAAGAAGTCATTGGGCTGCCCAGCAATACTAAATTCCAGGCTGCCACTCTTATTTTTGGCATCAATCACTGGCAGGCACCACTCCAAGGTATTTCGTCGACTGTCATGTCGATACTCCCCATCAATCTCACCAATCACAGGAGCACCGACACCCGATCTGTCATGAAAAACATCCAGTCAAGTTAGTTGCCCAGAGCTCAAAGAACTCCAACAAGGAAAACCAACCCCAAATTTAACTATGCTACTTGAATTTGGCTTCAAATTTTCTGAGATGGCCATTTTTATGAAGTCCTAGAGAAAATTAGGATCAAACAAAATCCTAGCACCTTAGCTTTGGATCTCACTCAGTGGCCTTTGTAGGTACAGTACATATAACAACAAGTACTACACTTGGCAGATGGGGCTGGGGCATGCCTAACGTTATGGACTAGACCTGGGAGCTGGCAGGAGACTGCAGATGTCTGAAGTGAGGTATGTTTCGAAGATTCTGCACCAATGGTTTGTTGTCAAGAGGAATTTTAACACAATGAAACTCTTCAGGTAACAATGGAGAACAAAGCATGCTGGTAAGGAGGGGGGATTTTAAACACTAATAATGGGGATGTACTTGGGTCTGTGAAAGGACTTTGTCTTTTTGAGAATTCTACCACTGAGCCACCCATGCACCATTTTCTGCCTTTTTGTCTTTCTGTCTTGTTATGCAGTTCAGGTTAGCCTAGAACTCATTTTGTAAGCCAGGCTGGCCTTGAACTCACAGCAATCCTCCTGCCTCAGCCTCCTGAGTGCTGGGAATACAGGCATGTGCCGTCACACCCAACAGGACATGTTTTTGAACACTTAAAATGTTCACATCTAACTGAAACTACCAAAGCTTTACTTATAATTCCGTAACTGGACTTTTGTTTGATAAGGGTATAATCACACTTGAGCAAAATGCAGTATGATGGGATAAAGAGACACAGAGCTGATTTAGCATGCAAAAAATTCAGGGCTAGTGAGGATATACTTTGTACCACCACACATGGTTGAAAGGCAGTCACCTACTCCTACACATTCTAAATTTGCTGTCTTTTAATTCATGGGTGACATTCAATGCTTGCATTTAGACAGGATAAATAAGGGAGACGAAGAAAACTTGAGGGGTGTTAACTCTACTATCCATTTTCCGATCTTGGTTCTTTTATGTTCCTTCTTTGTGCTCCTGCTCCAATTCCAACTATGATCTCTTCTAGTTTGATCAGTTCTTAACACGGAGTAAAATATCTAAGGGTTTCTTCAGGAGACCAGTGCAAAACTGAACCAAGACACAGGAAACTACTACAACCACAATCACAGGGTTGACAGAGAAGCCTAAAAATTGTGGCATCCTAAAAATAGTCCAGTAAAATAAATCTCGACAAACAAAACCCCACCTGTCACCAATGCTCAAGTCCTACAATGGTTCCAAGCAATCATCTGAAAAAGTATCTAAGCTGTGTAGAACAAGATGGTTACCCTAAGGGAATATTGGTAATAAAGCATACAGTAGTTTTTTCCTTTTTTTTGGGTGGGTACCAGGAATCAAACTCAGGACTTCGTGCTTGCCAGGCAGGTGCTGTGCCACTGAGCTATATCCCTGCCCCAGCATACAGTATTTTTTTTAAAACGGATATAAGGAGGTGGCAGAGCACTTGCCTGGCATGTATAACGCCCTGGGTTCTATCCTCAGCACCACATACATACACACAGATACAAGAATATCTAAAACTAGACTTGACAACGTAAAGGCTTGAGTTATCAAAAAGAGAAGGAAGGGGCTGGGGATTTAGCTCAGCGGCAAAAGCACCTGCCTGGCATGCGCAAGGTCGTGAGTTTGGTTCCCGGTACCAGAGAAAAAACAAAAAAAAAAAAAAAAAAAAAAAAAAAAAAAAAAAAAGAGAAGGAAACTACAAATGAAGTTAGTATAATTTCCCTTGTAATATCTGACTAACAGAATAGTAAATAATACATTTACTAACGTTCATAATTAAACTCTGTATTAATCATAGCAGCACAAGAAATAAAGGACAGAGTATTTCCAGGTACAGAATAGGTCATTTAAGTGCACAGCGGAAGTTATTGGAAATAAATCTGGGGGGAAGACAGACATTTTTGTTGTGTTATTTCACAGGTACGTAACATGGCAAAATTTAACACACTGCAAAATTTAAATACATGTAGTTTATTAAAGTCAATATACTTTAAGGCTGTCAGAAAACTTACTCAAATTAATATAGGTACTTAGTTTCAGCAAGAATCAAAAGTTCCATTACACACATTCTCATTTTTAATGTGTTTTTTTTGGTTGGTAATTTGTTTTTTGAGACAGGATTTCGCTAAGTAGTCCAGGTTAGCCTTGAACTCACTATGTAGCCTAAGCTGGCCTCAAACTTGCAGCAAGCCTCCTGCGTTGGCCTCCCAAGTGCTGGGATTGCAGGCATGCTCCCCGCAACCCAGCATCATTTTTTAATAAATTTAGAAAGCAAGTGCAAAAGAAAAATTCCAGCTCAGTGGACTCAATTTGTTTGAAACTTACAAAAACAAAATAGGAAATTTGAAAAGTAGCTCCTCCTTCTGGAAATCTTCATTAGTACATGAACAAGCCAAGGATTACACGAATGACTGAAATTATCTTCACAACTAGAACCTTTCTGTTTAGTTTGGGTTGATAGTTATAAAATCTACCCCCTTTAAAGCCTATATACAGGGGCTGGGGATTTAGCTCAGCGGCAAAGCGCCTGTCTGGCAAGCGCAAGGTCGTGAGTTCGGTTCCCGGTACCAGAGAAAAACCAAAAAACCAAAAAAAACAAAAAAACAAAAAAACAAAAACAAAAAAATAAAGCCTATATACAGTTCAGTGCATTCTGACAAACCCATGAAGTCTTATAAACACCACTGTAACAAGCCCACTCATTTCTATCATCTCCCAAGTTCCCTTTTACCCCTTTGTAGTGAAGTACCTGCTTCTCTATCTCCTGATTTTTGTTTTAGGAGTATTACTTTTTCCAGAAAGCCATAGAAATGAACTATTCAGTAGGCAACCTTATGGCTTCTTTTTTGTTTTGTTTTCTTTTCGGTTTTTTTCCGGTACCAGGAATTGAACTCAAAACCTCGCGCTTGCCAGGCAGGTGCTAGGCCCCTGAGCTAAATCCCCAGCCCTCCCTTATGGCTTCTTGATAGTCTTTTTAAGAAGCAAGTATCTTAGAATGGGTAGACAACAAGGTGCTTCCCCTAAAATAGAGTTCCAAAAGGCCAGTTCTATGACAACATTTGGAGATGATGATGTGGGGACACCACTTACGGGAGCGGGATGGTGATAACCACGTCATTCAGCTCTAAATTATCTTCCTGTAGCTCATATTCTATGTTGACATCACAGCCATTCCCACTTTCTGAGGGCCAGCAGTTAACTGAGGAGAAAAGCAAAGCCGTCAATCACACTAAAACATTAAGAGTGGGTTCACTTCTTGGCCTTTTGGTCAGGATCAAGAATGGAAAAGTTATAGTGCAAAGCCAAGCTGATTAATAACTGCAGGCCTAAAACATCTTAATATAAACTATATTTCAAATAACATTTTGCTGGGAGTGGTGGCACATGCCTGTAATTCCAAGACTCAGAAGGCTGAAGCAGGGG